TACTACTGTGCAGCCATTCTACATTGACAACATCTTAAAGGAGTACTGTATTAATATTAGTTGAAACGCAGGCAAAAGGGGACAGATAGAAGACATATGATTAAATTATGTCATGTTTATCATTGCACAGTTTGGTATTGGTTCATTTAACAAACAATTACCAAGTCAACTAACTTAAAGATAGCTTCATTGAATTAATTTACACACAGTCGCTATTGATTTAAAATGTGTGGTTGTGTGTGTACCTAGTTATATATTTATATAATTTTAAACCCAGTGCTTGTTGTGTGTTAGTCTACTGGTTCCCTGGCCACAAGGCAATATTCTCAGTATTCAGAGTGTGGGCTGTTCAGCATGCAGTTCATATCAAAGCCAGCTAGGGGCGAATGAAATTGACCAACTGATGCCAACCACACTGTCCATGCAGACTAAGATTAGCAGCATAAAGCAGAGTTGCATATATTTACCCACTAATAAAGCACAAAATACCTTTATGCACCATATTTTATTTTATTTTATTTTATTTTATTTTATTTTATTTTATTTTATTTTACTTGAAATTCTAATGCTACAAGATTTTACTCATGAAACATTGGAAATTATTGGAAATTTATAAGGGAAGGTGATTTTTTGCGGAAATGTTTTTCAATAGAAAAGTTAAGGCTACAAGAAGCACAATACTGACTATTTTTTAATAGAGACTTATTGCCACTGCTGCTATTACACTTCAACAAGCAAATATTTTTTTCTTATATGGAGAAATTATGTTGTTCTTGTGATATAGGTTCAAGTTTGTCATGTGTTTTTCCAAAAATGCAGCAAAATTTTTGTGACTCTGGTGTATGAATTGGAACAAAAGAGTTCGCTCAGAACGCAGAAAATCGCATTTCCGAGGTCCTAGATTTCAAAATTCTAGGTCTTATGCATGCATCAGTCAACTCAGGAGCTGGATCCGCCCCTGCGTGCGGGGCTGGCTTGAAGCCAAGCGGACGTATTCTACCACCACCACATGACCTCGTTGTAGTATATATTAAGAGAGTACCTAAAAATGGTCAAATTATGCGAAAACAAGGAAATGCGTACTTCCACTGTCAAAGGCAATGTGTTTCCTGTCGCCAGCCCTACTTTGTACCGTCGTTGTGCGTAATAAAGCCAGAAATTGAGATGTGCTTAACCGTAGAACATAGGCAGTTTCTTAATACTTTTGTACTGTACATCTGAGGAAGTGATTGAGTCTGTGATTCCATCATTAATTGAGATACATGCACTAAAAAACGTTGAGTTCTCCAGACAGCAATTTTTGCACCAGTATATTATTTAGTTTGTTATTGTTGAAATTTATATTTTTTGTGATTATAAATTTTTATAAACTTTTCCTTGGATCATGAATGTTATAGTTTCACATAATACAGTTACATATACAGTTTACATATGCAGAATTCAATAACAAAAAAATCAGGTCGTTCGTACGATGCGCCGACATATTACAATCAAAATACAAAAACCTTCCCACTTACTTTACTGTAATTTGTTCAGTTCTACCGGTAATTTAATTTACGATATTCGTGAATCAACGACAACATTTAGTATTCTGCGTTTTATATAGGTTGAGTGAATCCTCGTACCCAGGGTCTTTTTGGGAAAGACCCTGGTATTGTCTGGTCACGTGACTCTACAAAAATTAATTGCCCAAGGGGGAGTGGCAAATTATCAAATTACATGTTTGAAAACATTACTGTAAATTTCAAATACCAGGAGTGGGATTTTACGGTACATAGTTCGAAGCGTCCGCTAACTTCTATTTTATACTTCTGTTTGCTTTTAAATTACAAAAGCACTGTGGCATTTTATCAACAGTCAAGTCAAGAAACAAATAAATCGTATACTTTAAAGTTTGAAGTTGGGTATTCTCTCTAGCCCAAACATATTTTCATATCAAACCGATCAGTCGTGAACGTTTGTATATTTTCGCTTTCATCTGTTTCTAAAATATGCCATTTATAGATTTGTTGTTTGCAAACGTTGATAAACTTTGTGCCGATTTTGATACTAATAGTGCGCGTCTTGTTTATTGAAGGTTGATAGATTTTGAAACTTAACTTTTTTCCACAAATCACAATGTAAACAATCATGTGGACACTGCCAAACAGAGCCCGAATGCTCAATTTAAAATTGGTGATGATTTATCTTTGAAAATTCTTTTAATTCACTGGTTCATCATATTTGAAACTTGTAGATAGGTAGGAGTTTGGCAGGTAGTAAAATATAAAAATTTTCAGATGAATGTACAAAAATTCTCATCCTCAGGGAAATGCGTATATCAGGCGGTATAGACAATTACGGCTTTAGCTTTTTTTCGGCCTACAGCAATATTTATAAAAATATTTTTCTGATATACAGTACACATTTTATAACACGAAAATAGTCATATATATTTCCATAAACCACGGCATATAAAACACTGATATGCACATGCAGTCATATACCCATATACACTGATATGCACATACAGATATAACACTTACTTAATTAGAGTCTTAGAGTTTGAGAACAAACCGTTTATCTCTAGTGCAACATAGTTAGATTCTAAATCTAAATATGTATATTAACACAACATATATTGATCTCTAAACAGTCTAGCAAGCAGCGTCCCACACCAGCATGCATAATTTTAAATAGGCCAGTATTATATTTCACAAAGTAAAAATTTCTCGCGTATTTAATACTGTATGAATATCGATCAACAAATTACAGTAAAGCAAATGTCACTTAATGCTATATTCTTCAAATTTATTATGTCTGTATTCTCTAATGTCAAACATAAGTCACGAATATTCAGTCATATACAGTATTTGTATAAACATACACTCGACTGGCTTCGACTTATCTTTGCGTAGGCCATTTTACCGTAGGTTTGATAATAGAGAGGTATGCTTAAACATATTTCTTGAGCATCAATGAAGTTTCAGCGAAGTCAATGGCAATGTTGGAATTTGGAAATTTCTCAGCGCTTTGAATAACAGTCCGAGTAGCTTTGTTTACAAGCAAGGTTTGTTCCGTTTGTAGTTTGCGATATTACAGAAATTGAAAAGATCTCTCTATTTCAACAGTACAACAGTAATTTCTCCACCATGTCCCCTGAGTTGCAATCTTCGCACTCTCTCATCATTCCCATCATGTTAGCGCTTGAATCAACTGATGTCAACACCAACAGATTTTAACCATTCTTTTGCAATTTGACCCCACACAGTCTTTGCTATTTCACCCTGAGTGTTCTTGATGTTATGCTTTCTTTCTAGAGTTGACCAATTTAGAACCATATTATCTGGATGATTTTCCACTTCTCTCATTTTCTCCTTATCAAAATTCTTGTTTTCTAAGTTTCCAAGTTCCAACAGGACTTCTCATTCTTCATGCCTGCTTCGTGTCGTGATTGCTGTGTTGCTGCTAGGAATACAGAAGTATATTATTTTAGTTCGTTATTCTTGCTTATACATGATTATTTTTGTCTTAAATTGCATTAAATTGCATATACTGTAATGTACTCAAAGTGGGCTTCCATGGCCAGGAGCTTTGGGAGGTAACTATTTAACAATTAGTCGCCGAAGGCGAGGTGATTACAAGCCTGTATTCACTGAGCCGAAGGCGAAGTGAATATAGGCTTGTAATCACCGAGCCTGAGGCGACTAATTGTTTTAGTATAAATTTCCAGGTGTTTACAAACAATAATCCACACAACTTTATAAAAATTCACTTCAAATAAATTTATTTTCACTATAAATAGTTTGTTTACAAAATTTAAATCTCAGACACGGCTCTGTCGCGTTGCGACTAACCCAGTTTTTTCCAAATAAAAGCACGTAAAGTTTAATATTTTACCTTGAAATATTTTTAAACCATATTTTGTAGCTTGTTTGGGTTTTTCGGAATGCTATCTTCTTTAATTTTGGCAATTTCCTCCTCTGTTACTACGGCAAAACGAGCAGCCATTTTGAAAAAAAAGCTATAGTCACTGACCAGTGACTATCATTTCAGAGACAGTGAATCTTGACCAATCAGAATGCAGAAAAATCAATAGTCACCAGGAAATTTATACTAAAAGGTAATAACAAGTTTGACAAAAGCCCTTGACACAGCACGAGGGTTGCTCCAGTAACAATGAGCTAATAATACTGTAAAATGTTCTAACACATTAACCACAAATAGAATAATTTTTGTCGGTTAAATGTATTTTGCAACAAATTTGCTTAGAAGCTAATTAATATACTGCATCACATACATACTGTATTCAGCCTATTCACCTTGTAACTGATGTATTCTTCCAGTGCTCCTCCAAACAAGCTTTTGTCTTTTGTAAATAATTTCTTCTTTCTTTTTTTTCTCAGCACAACTCTTCTTCACTTGGATATTCAATGTGGGAAAAGTGGTCAGGGTCTTCTCAAGGGGTACATTAAAAACTCGCAAACGAGTTATTAATTATATTATTTGTAAACGAGTTAGACTGTAATCTGTTTATTCAACTGCTGTGGTATTGAAAAATCTTTATTTATAGCCAAGAAATGTTATCAGTAACAGTTCAGTCTCCCAATATTCAAAGAAACCATTTTAATTTTATATATCATATTTCATATTCTGTTACCATACTAGTACTGATCAGTAAATTTCCTTTCTAATCCCAACTGTTTCGCGAGTTCTTGCGCAGCTTAGGTCCAAGGTACTCGGGGACATTATTGATTTTAGTTGATAACTGTTTTATACGATTCGTTTCCATATTTTTACAGTATATTTAAAAGACAGCCATTGCCGCCATTTTGAAATTCGCATAATTTCACAGTGGCTTCCACTCTAAAAATCCAAAATTTCCTCTTCTCAAATTATTTTTAAAATTATAGAACTATAAATATTTAAGATTTAACTATATTAGCGTCTTTATAAACGTTGAACAATTGTTTGTGCATGATAACTGATATTGGTCTTTTTGCATTCTTGTTATCGATTAGGGTTGTCCTGAAGATGCACCTGGTTTGCTTCCACCAGATTATACGAAAGCAGACATTCCAAAATTGAGAGAAGATCTGCGCAAGTGGGAGTCAGTTATGACTGCATCATCAAAAGCTTGGTGGAGAGAGTTCTTGGGCTGTATTGAGATTGAGAATGAAACAACAACAGAGGACACGTGTTGTATCCTCGACTTAAAGCAAAATTTGAAGAGACCTGCTGCTACTCAGTCAGAAGAAACCCCACCGAGAGTCAACATGCAATTTAGAGAGAAAGAACTTGCACCCCTTGATGAGGTAAATGATTGTTTGCGGTATTAGTACTGGGTGTTCCGTGTACGTGTCAAATTTGTGAATTTGAGAGGTCCATAGGTCCCTTACAATTGTTTTCAGTGGCGCTGTGGCGGGGGGGGGGGGCATGCCCCCCTATCGTCAGAAAATTGTTAATGTTGTCGGAATCTTAGTGCTGAAGAATCGAAAACAGTGCTACTAAAATCGGGAAAAATGCTACAAAAGCAATTGTAATGTTATTGTCTGGAAAAAATTTTCACTGAAAAAGTTGTCGACAGGGGTGGGGGGGGGTAGTTTGTCGGAAAAGTACTGCCCTTGCCCCCCCCCAAAAAAAAAAAAACAAATTGGGTCTTACAGCACCACTGATTATTTTGGAACATTTTGCCTTTTTTATTAGATATATACTGGTGCTTACCAGCCTCCGAGAACAAGAGGAATTCAGTTGGTTGATGATATTCTTATGGCATTGGCTCCTGGTGTTTTTGTTGCAGTATATTTAAGCAACTACAAGAAAATGCCTGTCATTGGAAAAGTGGTGGAGGTGTTAGAGGAGGAATTTACTATTCATTATTGGAAAGGTTCATACGCAAAGCCATGGGAACCTCATCTGCTAAAAAATGGTAGGGAGATTACTCCTTGGAGTGATGTTTTGCCAAAACAATCCCATTATCATATGTGATTTCCACCTAGATAGTGAAAATAAACTTCTGGAGAATACCAGGAAATATTTAAAACGTTGGTACCGAGAGGAACGTGTACGAACATAAGGTTATTTAACCGCGCATGAAATTTAACTTTTTTAGCAGGATCCATGAAGGATACCAGACTTTTCAATCTGCTACATATATGCAGGTCTGAAAGCTGCTGTGAGTATCAAATCTTCCAAACACCTTTGGATAAACATTAATCTCCTTATCTTTAATTAACCCATTAAGTGGCAAAGTGCCCCACTGCGCAAGGCTCAATTTTTACCACCAGGCGAATAACAACTTGTCAAGGGTTAGACTCTAAATATCTTGCAACTTAATGGTTTAATTAAAGCTGCTTTCAAATCAATGGTATAAAACAGCAGAAAGGATATACTGTAGACTCGTACAGTATTTTGCACATGCAAGGAACACCTGAATTAGGCAATGTAATTTTAGCTGCAAATGAAACTTACTGAAAATGCAAACAAAATGATGGAATTTTTGCCAGACAAATGCAATGTTATACCTCAATATTTTCTAGCTATTTTCAATACTTTCTAAGTATTTTGTTGGATACTAATCTCATGATGTTTAGTATCTAAAATCTACTACTGCTATCCTGTGATATCTCGATATCCATAATGATTAATGTATGATAAGATGCTGATTTATTTGCATCCAAATGTAAACTTACTATTAAATGAATAATTAGGTGACTATTAAATTTCCTGCCATCTGATTGACAAGGATTGAAGTCACCTGGATGTCTTTTTAAAAGTTTTGGAATTATTGTAATATGTTTCGAATGCTTTTTTCTATTTTTTTTTAATTTATACCAACTGAAAACACTTAGTTGCTGAAGGCAAGTTGATTACAAGGCTTTAGCCTATATTCACTTTGCTTTCACTCTCCAGCTCAGTGAATACATGCAGGGTTGCAATCACAGCTCGCCTTTAAACCCCATTTAGATTTCTTCACCGTAATGAAATATTCCGTTATTATTAATTGATTTCAGATTTTCGGGGTATCATTTAGCTTTCTTTACTGTAAATATTCCGTTTATGTTCATGATTTCAGATTTTCAGGGTTCGGAAATTCTGAACCCCTTGTAGCTTTCTTCGCTGTAAGTATTCCGCTTATATTCATTGAATTCAGATTTTCAGTGTTCAAAAATTCTGAACCCCTTGTAGCTTTATTCGCTGTAAATATTCCGCTTATATTCATTGGTTTCAGGGTTCAGAAATTCTGAACCTCGTCTAGCTTTCTTTGCCGTAAATATTCCGCTTATATTCATTGATTTCAGATTTTCAGGGTTCAGAAATTCTGAACCCCTTGTAGCTTTATTTGCTGTAAATATTCCGCTTATATTCATTGATTTCAGATTTTCAGGGTTCAGAAATTCTGAACCTCCTGTAGCTTTCTTTGCTATAAATATTCCGCTTATACTTCTTTATTTCAGATTTTCAGTGTTCAGAAATTCTGAATCCCTTGTAGCTTTATTCGCTGTAAATATTCCGATTATATTCATTGATTTCAGATTTTCAGGGTTCAGAAATTCTGAACCTCCTGTAGCTTTCTTCGCCGTAAATATTCCGCTTATATTCATTGATTTCAGATTTTCAAGGTTCAGAAATTCTGAACCTTTTCATAGCTTCCAGCGATCAATATTCTGTTATCTAACCGAAATTGCCTAAAACCTTGTTTTTATCACGTCTTTGCGGAAAAAATAGTGCAATACAAATATTCCGCATATTGCAACAACCAAACCGATATTTGCGCTGTGAAGTCAACTTTTTCTGGCTGATTTCCCGTTTTCGGCGGATATTTGTAATTGGACGCAAAATTTACTTTAAAATATGAAATATACGTTAACAAATACGATTTTTTTCGCTTTTAATATTTTTAACCGGATTAATTTTGCGAAAGTAGTGTAGGAAGGAAATCCGCATTGCTTGGTTTTTAGGTCAATTTTTGAGCAAATTTTTTTTATTTTGCACATATTTTGGGAAACTGTCAAGATTTTGCGGAAAAATGAGAAATTCCGCATAATTTCAAACAAACACGCGAAATCGCGTACTTTGGAAAATCCCAATTTAGTTTGGAACACGTTTAATGGTTTAACTGGCCTATCTGCCCATGTGTCTACTTAACCCGTTGAGTTGCATAATTGTGTCCTGTTATGCCCTACTTTAATATTTTACTCTGTCTACCGCCAGACAATTTAACTCGTCAAGGAGAGAGCGCTGGCGCTTAAAGGGTTAAACTATACACAGTAAATTCAAAAGGGCCATTTTGGCGCCCAAAATGGTCCCGAAATTTTGACGCTGAGACGGCCCCATTTTAATGGGGCTGTTTTGGCCCCTTTAAAATAGGGCCATTTTGGCAACTATTTAAAGCGCCATTTTGGCTATTATGTGAGGCCATTTCGGTTCTTTCAAAGGGCTGTTTTCAATCTTATAATTAGAATGATGCCTATATCAGCTGTCAAAAAAGGGCCAATTTAGCTCGTATGTGGGGCTGTTTTGGTGTTTTCAAAAGGGGGCTGTTTTAGCTCTTTTAAAAGGGGCTGTTTTGGCTCTTGCGAAAGGGGCTGTTTTGGTGCGTTCAAAAGGGGCTGGTCTGGCTCTTTCAAAAGGGGCTGTTTTGGCTCTTAAAGGAGCTGTTTTGGTGCTTTCAAGAGGGGCTGTTTTGGTTCTTTCAAAAGGGACTGTTCAGGTGTTTCAAAAGGAGATGTTTTGATTCTGAAGACAGCACCATTTTATCATTGCTCACTAGACATATTCAAATAATCACACAATGCAAGTTTAAGAAGATGTATGTTATTTTAGTGTGGCAATACCCAACACTACAAAAAATTATGTGTAAATTTTACAAAAAAACGTGAGTAAAATTTCCATCCACAGCAACACATTTACTGTATATGTCATAATGTCTTACTGTTTTACTTGCTAGTGCTGTCACGTAATGGGTTAAACAAAAGCACTCCTCTCGTGTACAACTGAGGTGAAACAATGAATGTTTTCTGGAATCAGGAATGAGCCAATAGCATATTAGATCACAAGTACAGTACCGACAACATCTCCCTTGCATTTTAGAAAGCATCTACCATGTTCAAAGATTCTTTATCATGTTGTAAACACCATCCTACATAATGAATGATTACAGATAAATTATTTAATATTTGTTTTCATAGGAAAAATTTTGATTCACTAAGGCTCCAACCTTAGACCAAATTATAGCTAGTACATGCTAACCCGGATTAGTCATGCACGTACCTATATGGAAATTCACTGATATTCCGATAACCGATATTGAAGGACTGATATTTTGCCGATACTGACACCAATATTTATTCCATGTCATTACACAAAATTTAAAGATGACATCAAATTACTGATATTTCAATTTAGTGCCGATAAGCAGATACACCAATATGGATATTGGTGTATCACTACCCAGAAATCATGGTCGCACAGGAAAGTTTTCAAATTTTACAGTAAGGCAGTTTTCCAGTCCTCGCACGAAGCCCTTGCGGCTCGCTGCAAATGCATGCATGAGCACTTTCATCCAATCAGAATGCAAAACACTTAATTTTAATTAGATGCAAGCACTCGCATCGAGCTGCAAGCTTCGTGCGAGGACTGGAAAACCGCCTTTAACCCATGAAGTTGCATTGCATGCACGCCTACTTTATTGTATTCCTGTCTAATGTCAATTGCCAGACAATTTTATTTGTGGGTGGGAGTGCTGGTGGTTAATGGGTTAATCTGACCATGTTTCTAGAGATTCATTAGTTGCATTGTGCCCCTATGTGAATACGCCCCTATTCTATTAATGTCTTTAACTCATAAGTGCGGCATTCTCCCCTCGACAAGTAAAATCGTCTGCCATTAGACAGAGTAAAATAATGTGGGGCGCATCAAGGTGCAATGCAACTCAATCCTTGGATTTTGTTCATTCAGCATTGGCTACCAGAAATGTGATAAAAAGGCAATGTGCATGTAATACAAAGCTAGATTGATTTATGATTTGTCATATAAATGACAATTAATACATTAGGCACTAGCACTCTCCACTTGAGTCTTGACAAGTAAAATTGGCTCATGTTAGACAAAGTACAATAATTTGGCATTAACCCAGTATTCATATTAAATTGATACTTTTGAGTGCAGAATGGAAAGCTTTGACTTCCACTCACTGCAATGGGTAATCATCTATAAAGTCAAGATTCTGGGGTATAAAGGAATCTCTATAATAACACTCACCATGTAGTAATTTTAAGCAGCTTTCCCTAGTCTGTAAGTTGGCTGTAATAGGTATGCTGGCAACAAAAATACAAGATGTCAGCACATGTAAAAAGAATACTAGTTTTATGATCGCTCTTGCAATATGAGTGTTTACAGTAAAATGATTGATTCCACCTCTATTTGGCCTAGGTGAGACCACATAACTTGTTGCCGGGATCCCATCTGCCAAGACGAGAAATTCTCATATACAGTAAGCACTCTATCATCCCCGCCAGACAGGGTGCATGTATCCCGTATATTTTGCTTAGCCAAGTTTTTCACTTCTCAGCAAGACTGGATTAATAATAATAATAATAATAATAATAATAATAATAATTACAATATTTAGTCAGGGGGTCCACTCACGAAAGTGATTTTCAGTGGAGCCCTGATAAAAAAACCTGTCCAGCAATGCTATTATCACATACATGGAAGCAGGCACATACAATATATAAACTCTACAAGGGTTTAGATTGGAAATCCTTCAAGCTCAATTAGCCAGCAAAAGTTTATACTTTCAAAGTTGCTATATCTACTGGTCCGTAAACAGACTTCGCCAGGCTATATTTACAGCACCCTTATGTACTAAACCAGCACTATCAATTGTATTGTTTAGGGAGGATTTCAGCGAGCTCCAAAATATACTTTTTACCATATTGTGGGCAGTACTATTCTAACCCTTTAAGGCATAATGTGCCCTGGTGCACTCTATTTAATTTATTCTTGTCAGGGCGAGCGTGCTGGCACTCGATGGCCCGAAAGACCTTGGAAACCCAGAAGAGGTGTGATTAAAAACAGAATGTTAAATTAAATTGCTTTATGCATGTGGCAATTTACCCAGATGCGCCCTACTTTATCATTTTATTCTATCTAACGCCAGACGATTTTCCTCGACAGAACAGAATTATAAAATGCTAAATTTAATCAATTCTATATTATTGGGTTAACAAGTTTCTGATTCAGATAGATAACAGATTATGACTTCCTCAAGTTTAAATTAATACTGCCAAATAATTTTCGTGTTTTGACTTTGAGGCTCGATCGAGCTCGATGTAGTCATATTCATATTCACATATAGTGTGTGAGTGTCCTGTTTTGGCCCCTGTTAGAGCTAAAACGGCCCCAGTTTTAAAAAGCCAAAATGGCCCTATGGGGCCAAAATGGCCCTTCTAAAATTACTGTGGAATTAAAGGGTTTAATTATTAAAGATTGTTTTCATATGTTGCAGTTCTCTGACCTCAGTGATCTCAGGCGAGATGGAACAGGACAATCTCTTATCTTTGAGAATGTTATTTTATGGGATTTCGATATTCTGCCTTCTCCACCTCCTCAAGCTAGCAATTCAACCTCAATCCAGATATACTGTTAATGAAGTGTTGAACAGTCCCTACAATTATAACAGTGATACATGATATAGATTACTTAGGATATTCTAAATTTTTTAAAATTTTATTATGGACAACATTTCTCCATACTTTGGATCTGTTTTGGCAATAGATATATGAACTCAATCAAAGCTTTATGTCCCTGTAAGCTTCATTTATGTTTTTTTCACTGGTGACTTCTTTGAAGGAGTCGGTCTGATCTTTCTGCTTGGAAACTACAAAAAGTATTTCTTTTACTGTATTAGAACGTAGTCACAGTCAATAGCGTAGCCAGCCCGACGATTTAGTCCCGCTATGCTAATATTTTTGTGTTCATTGACAGTGAAAACAATCAATTTCTAAAGAAATAAATAATGGTAATAATTTTGAATTTGCATAACGGGACCAAATTGTCGGGCTGGCTACGCCACTGGTCACAGTTAACATACTGTAACGTTATATATTTTATTTATCTTATGCCATATAAACTACATTTAACTTTACTTGATAACTCAACTATGCTCAGTCCTTGTTCAACGTTCCTTCGACGTCCCATGTGCTCGCGTGCATGAGTCACGTGATATCCTTACATTCCGCATACAATAAGAAAGTTAATATTAATCAACAGTTTGAACACCGTCTACTCTCATGAGATAGAGTCAACTTTAACATTGAAGTCTTATAACAACTACTAAGTTCTTCTTAAGTCCTAACATGCTTTACTTATCTGTTAACTGTATTGTTCATATCTACGAGGTTTCTTTATTGTTCTACCATATCTTGATCTGTCTCTTGATACTTCATTCGAGGGTAACGACTTTGTCTCGACTTGTTTCTCCGCTCGTTTCGTTGTGCTTACATTTTTGTCATTTCCGTCTTCGAATTCCGAGGTAATTTTTCTCAATTGTTTCCTGTTTCGTCTGTATTGAACTTTGTCCTTGGTTTCCACTATGTACGAACGAATTGCAATCTTTTCTTTCACCGGTGCTTTTTCTCCCCATATCAACCTCTTTTGGTCGTAGATTCTCACCATCTCACCTTGCTTCAGTGGTGGCAAAGGTTTGGCTTCTCTGTCATGATAAGCCTTCTGGATTTCTTTTTTCTTTGTTTTCCATGCAACAACTGCTTTGGAATCTTTAACATTGAGCTGGTTTTCTACAACTGGAAGATCTGTTTTAAGTGTTCTTCCCATCAGTAACTCAGCTGGTGACTTATGGTTGTCAAGTGGTGTTGATCTATATGCTAACAGTCCGAGATACGGGTCTGTTCCGCTTTCAATTGATTTGCTTATAATATTCTTTACTGTCTGGACAGCCTTCTCGACTAACCCATTAGAGGACGGGAAATGAGGACTACTGGTCTTGAAATCAGCAAACTCTTGACTACTGTAACATGGTCCATTGTCACTATGAACAATATCAGGAATGCCATGTCTGGCGAAAGTTACTTTCATACCTTTAATCACAGCTTTACTGCTTTGGCTTGATAGAGGTATCACTTCCGGATAGCTGGAATATGCATCCACAATGACAAGATATTCTTTCTTGTTGATTTCACAGAGATCTGTGCCGACCACTTGCCAGGGACGGGTTGGAACTGGATATGGCTTTAATGGTTCTTTCTGGTGGTTATGCTGGTGATGTTGGCATGTCTCGCAACTCTCAACTATGTTATCAATGTCACTGTTGATTCCAGGACAGAATACTACTTGTCTGGCACGTTGCTTGCATTTCTCTCTGCCCTGATGACCAGCATGAATTTTTATTAAGATTTCTTTTCTCATCTTTGTTGGAATTACAATCTTTGAACATTTTAGTATCAGCCCTTGGTGTACCGATAATTCATCTCTGATGTTCCAATAAGCATGAAGTTCGTTAGAAGTATTGGATCTTTCATTGGGCCAACCTTGCATGATAGTATTTTGAAGTGATATCATTGTTTTGTCCTTTTGGGTTTCCTCTTTAATCTCTTTTAGTTTCTCATCTGTGACTTGTAGCACTGCTATGATTCCATCAACATGAGCTTCAATATGGTGGTCTGACTTACTTGCCAGCTTCAGGGGTGCTCTGGATAATGCATCTGGTGTATGCATCCACTTACCAGGAACGTACGAAAGTTTGAAATCATATTTCTGTAATCCTAATCTCAACCGCTGTATTCGTGGCGGGCTATCAATTAGTGATTTTTTGAAAATTGACACTAATGGTTTGTGGTCTGTCTCTATTTCGAATTCTTGACCGTATATGTACTGGTGGAATCTTTCACAAGAAAATGTCATACCTAGTGTCTCAAGTTCAATTGTTGCATATCTGCTCTCACAATCTGTGACTGACCTCGATGCATATGCTACTGGAAGCCAATTTTCACC